ATGTGCATATTTAACAAAGGACACTCTCTAACATTGTAGACGAGAATGGAATTCATGACAAAAATCTCTGTTTTGTTGATCTTGTATTACTGATTTTAAGGTCTGTTTAGTTTCTCTCTATCTTCTTTAGTTTTTGCTCAAATCACAAGAGGGTTAAAAAAATCCTCATTTAAAGGCAATCACTCTTATAAAGAGTGACAGTCTACTAACTATATCAGCAAAATTTGACTTGTTAGTAGATCCTGCCTTTCGGATCATTTTTGTGATTTAAAGTGTCTATTTATCTATTATATTTTAATCATATAAGGCAAAATGCAAAAACAATGGTAAAACAATCATCATTAAAGGGCAATAACTCCAATAAGGAGTCGTGGGATGATATCCTCTCTTTGTCTTAATTATAGATCTTGTCTTCTTGATAATTTTCGTTATTTAAGTTTATATCTATCTATTATAGTTTTTAAAATACAAGGCAAAAATGCAAAAAAAAAATGGTACAAATCGTCATCAGAGAGCAATAACTCTTAAAGGAGTCGCCTGACGATTTTGACAATGTAACAATTTGTAACTTGTCTTGCTAATTTTTGCATTTTAAAGTTTCTCTCTATTTATCATAGTTTTCAAGATTATAGGCAAAAATGAAAACAAAATTGGGAAAATTTGTCATTTAAGGACAATAACTCCTATAAGAAGTTATCTGAAAGTTTTGACGTATATGGACAATTGGTAGAGCTCAACATTCTGAACATTTTTGCGCTAGATTTTCTCTATTTATAACATTTTTCAAAATAATAGACAAAACTTGCATTTTACCCCTGTGTTCTATTTTTAGCTATTCAACCATCTTGGTTGGCAGGCCGGGTCATTGGACACAATTTTTAAACTAAATACCCCAATGATGATTGTGGCCAAGTTTTGTTAAATTTGGCCAAGTAGTTTTAGAGGAGAACATTTTTGAAAAAGTTAACGACGGACGACGACAGACGACGACGGATGCCAAGTGATGAGAAAAGCTCACTTGGCCCTATAGGCCAGGTGAGCTAAACAAATGAATCTGGACCTCTTCTGAAAATATTCTATAGAAGACGCAATAAAAACAAAAAATCAATATGCTGTCGAATATAGAAGATTTAAAACAAATTTTGGATGACATAAATGAAATTTACGATGATTTATTATAGAAAATAAGATATCTGTCAGTTCCGTTTCGGTAAACACGACTGTAATAGTCTTAATAAGCCTTTAATATTGACGAGGGCCATTTGATATGAAAGATGACTTTCTACACAGACAAACAGGAATCTACAAATTAACAATTACTATGCTGTTTAAGTAGAGCAATTTTTTGTGTTTGCAATAGTTATTTTATGAAGATTTAACACAACATTAGGATTGATAGAACAAAACTCCCTTTTGACTTTAAAACTTTTGGTTGTGTGGTGCCAGAGCTACGCGACTTCAATAGTCAAATTTAAGGGAATGATAAAATAAAGGCTTCCTTTTGATTAATTTTCTGGTGAAAGTAAGGCATCAATTGTTTTGAAAATTATCCAAATTTGTCAATCAAGATTTTAACTGTCAGATAAATAAAAGGTCATATTTATGCTTTAGCTCTAGTATGCTTATATCAAATTACTACAAATTGTGAAGTGTTGTTAGGATTGGTAACTGTAGACTTGCTTTGAATTTTGACAATTTACCTGGATGTTATTCCAGAACTATGAAACTTCAAATAGCAATATTTGAGGCAATATTGATAAGTTTAGGGAATGACTGTTTTACTTTGAGGATTTATGTTTTTGTCGAGCTTCATGTCGCAAAATCAGAACAAAGCTATCCTAGTTTACGTCGATGGCGTCGGCGGCGTCGATATTTAGGTTAAGTCTGTCGTTAATGTTTTTTAGACATCAATAACTTTGTCAAACCTAAATGGAATTTTAGGAAATTTGGACAGAAGCTTTTGTATGACCAAGATACATTATACATAACAAAAATTTTCTTTTCCTATTTTACTGATTAATGGACTTAGTTTTTTTAACATCTAACAAGTAGATACAGTCTGGGGTTAAAGTCTGTTACACATCAAATACTTTGTTAAACTTTCAGAATTCTAAGAAACTTTGGCAGAAGCATTTTTATGATTAAGAGATAATGTCTGAAGCAAAAGTTTTTTATTTTCCATTTTCAGTATATTTCTGATAGATGGACAGCGTTTTTTACAGTTTACATTAAAGAATTTTCTTTTACTTTCCCCATATCTTATATGTTATACTTGAAAATGGACTTCACTTTTTTATGTTTACATTTAGAAACAGATCAAACAGTCTAGGGTTAAATATTAAAAAATCTGTTTCAAACTGTCATTTAGTTTCAAAAAAACTTTTATTGAGGCTTCTTTGTGGCCATTTGGGTTAAAAATAAAAACCATGATAAATAAACTAAGTTCTTTTTTTGTACACAGCGTTGATATGTAGGCACAGTATGTCAAACCTTCTGGAAATTTTACTAAGCCATGGCAGAAGCTTCTTAAAAGTGAAAGTCTCCTAGCAAATATATTTTTAAATGTGTTCATTATCATGATTATGTTTTACTTTACTGCATGATAAACATGTTGTGTCATTGTTAAAGGCCATTTGGTGATCTATGGTTGTTTAAAATTTCTATGTCATTTGGTCTCTGGTGGAGAGTTGTCTCATTGGCAATTATACCACATCTTCTTATTTTTATATAATAGACTTAAATGTTTTTGGAGTTCAACATTATTCTTTTTCACTGACAACATCAGTCCCAGACAAGACACTTGGTTATGTGTCATTTTATTCATATTTCTGAGAAATCTAATATCTAAAAATTGGGGGAGGGGATACATATTATTGCCCTCAACTATTGAAGCAATGTAATGCTTAAATGCTCAGAATGTTCAGAAGAAAGCACAATTAAATACCACATTTTTTATTTTTCGATAAATTTTATGATTTTGAAAAATTGATTTTTTTTTCCAAAAAAAGGGGGGGGGGGGCACAATACCCAGAGTGATCAATTTTCATTCTGTATCAATAGCTTCATAAATCATATATTCTCATTTATAATTAACAAATGATTGTCCGAATTACACATATAAATAGATGAGTTTGGCTCATTAAGTTCAAGATCTTTGATTGTTTATCTGTATGGAAATCTGGACAATTTCTGAATGAAAATAATTTTTTAAAGAAAAAAAAAAAGCACGACTTTCTTTTTATTTCATGAATATATAATATGTTGTCTTTAAAAATTTGTCAGTGACATGTTATGGTATTGTTGGTCTTGGAAGATAAACAGAAATAAAATTTAGCGATTTTTGAAATTTTTTATTATCGAATTTTAACATATTTTTAAATGGTTGCTATGGAAACAAACTATTAGGTAAATTCTAAATTTTAACATTTTTGAATAGTTTGGGGTTTTGTTTGTCAACAATGTAAAAATGCTTATTGTTTGTATTGATTAACTTTATTGCAACGGTACTTTAAAATCCCTTATTTTCCAATTTTCAAAAACTACATTTTCACCTTTTGAGGCAAAATGTTGTTTTGACTGTTACCATGGCAACGTACATTATACAGGGAAAATAAAATCAGAATTTTACTCATCTACCTGTGTTCTTAGGATAAAGGGCAAAAAAAAACAACTTTTGTGACATGTCATGAATCACCCTCTGCATGATTTTTACAAAGACAGGTACTTAAATGCTTAGGAAAGTGCTCTGACTGGACGTGGCTGCAAATTTATAACCTTAGGTATCATGTAGGAGAAAGAAGAAAGATTGGTTGACTTGGAGTAAAAATAATTTGTCTGGCTGTGGTTACATATATTTCGTGCAGACTGTAACCTGGTAATTTAGCGAGTAATCATTTGGAAAATAACTTTTGAATCTTGTCGATTTAACTTTTTTTCTCTATTTTGTTTTGATAAATAGCTAATACTTTAGAACTGATATGAATGAACTTCGTAGTACTTTCATCATTGTTCATGTGGATAATTTCCTCTTTCAAGTAGCTGAATTCAACAGCTGAAATAATGAATGTATTTAGGCATCTGAAATAAAGAAAAACTTATCTTTACAAAGACAGTTGGAATATTAAAAAGTAGAATTCCTGCTATAATATCAATAGATCAGATGCGTTTTGTAAAATTGCATAGAGCTTCGACAAATTTTTGGCGTTTGAAACACGTTGAACCCCAGACTGTTCAGTAATGTTTACGCCGCCGCCACCTACGACAAAAGGGGGATTTGCCTCCCGCCTTGCCGAGTCTCATAACAGGCAAGACGAAAAAAACAAAATCAAATAGTCAAAATGTGTAAAAAAACTATGTCTTACTGAAGTATAGCACATCAAAACACGTCTCAAAGACTAATGTGTCTACTATGTATGCTTGCCATATATTTTATGTTTAAACAGTCTCCGGGACAAGTTTGCAATTCCGCTGAGTGCAAAAGTTGTCACCTTAATTTTTGGAAGTAGGTCAAAATGAAGTTGATAACTTGGTTGGTATTAGTTCCCTGATATGTGTCATAAAAAAATTGGCTCTAGCACCACTGTTAAAAAAGTTATGCCCCTTTTTCTACAAATTTCCTCAGAAGTAAAGTTGTTTTCCTCAAGAGAAATCAAATTTCCCTAATGGAAAAAGATTTTTCCTTAAGGGAAATTTTTTCTTCCTCAAAGGAAAAAAAAATTGCTGCATACATTTTTCCTGTGAGGAAATTTGCTGCATCATATTTTCCTTTGAGGAAATTTTGTCAATTACCATTTCCTTTGAGGAAATTTTTGACAATTGGAAATTCCTTGAGGGAAAATTCAAGACAGCAAATTTCTTCTAAGGAAAATATTGATCTCCAAATTTCCTCTATGGAAATTTCTGTACATCAAATTTCCCCTATTTTTTCCTCTTTAGAAATTATTTAACAATACAAACAGTATGAATATAATTTTTCCTAGACTGAATAAATGATACAAAAAATATTTAAAACTTTAATAAATTTTTGACTGATGAGTAACATGACATACAAAAACAATACAGTCTGATGTTTTGGTCTAGGTATTGTACATTCTTTATATGACTTTAATTTTGATTCATAAAATATTTTTTGTAGCAAAGTTTTTTGTTTTTTGTTTTCTTTGTTATTGTTTCATTGCAATACATTAATAAGCAACCAATCTGAATATCATACAATTTGTGTTGTTCTTAATATTGTGTTCATATTTGCAGATTAAATAAAATAAACACATTTCATGTTAATTTAAATTTTCTTCTGTTTCAGCTGCTGTGTACAATTATTCAATCCACTATACACATGATATAAGGGTTCAGTGCATAAATTATTCCATCCACTACATGACTAGACATTTTCCTTCAATTCTTAGAGAAAACATTTTTTGCAATTTGTTCTTTAAAGAACTTCCTCTGTATATTTGATATGAGGGAGCGATGTAAATGAGTTGATAAAGCAGGTGTTCATTTCGACAACAAAATACTATTTTTTCTACATTTCTCCCTTCTTTCAATGACTATGTATGTTGTTGTATTTACATAATTGTGTTCTTGTGCATCTATGATAGAACTCCATTTTGTTTATAGCCATTTTGTTGAAATTTCCTATTTCTTTTTGCAGGAAAGCACACATTCCATTTCACATTAATCCAATTAGTACACAATGTAGAAAAATATCAACTTAAGTTTCCTCTTCAGTATTGACCTGTTGATGATCATTAAAACCAAGATGTCTGACCTATAGATACACAAAATAAAAAAAAAAAATTATAAATGGAGAAAAAAACAGCAATACAAAAGCTTATTTTATTATGTTTTTGAACATTTTGAGAAACTTTCATTGGTAGTCTTACTTGTGGGTACTCTTATTTCAGTGCTATGTGTCCACGGTTTAATATTAGTTGTTTTTGTGCCTTGAAGTGAAATTTTAGTTGAGCCACTTGCAATTTTTTACAGTTCGTTCTTATGTTGTGCTGTTTGAACCACTGTCCCAGGTTAGGGTAAGGTTGAGTGCTCACAGACATGATTTTTTTTATTAATTGTTATTGGCTTTGAACTAGTTGTCAGTAACTGTGAGTACTAACAGATCTGTACTTTGTGTTTTTTCTGGTATAGGGCAGGTATAAATTTCCTGCCACTTCCGGTCTGTTTTTTGTTAGCTTGTAGTTCTGCTTTGCAGCCTTTTTCGACTGATTTTTATACAATGTAGTTTGTTCTTATGTTGTACTATTATACGACTGCCCCAGGTTAGGGGGATGGTTTGGATGGAAATTGGCACCAGCAAACATGTTAAACCCCCACCACATTTTGTATGTGCCTGTTATTCAGTAGTTGTCCTTTGTTGCTGTATATCATATTTATTTTTCGTTTATTGTTTTGTACATAAATCAGGATGTTAGCTTTCTCCTTTGAATTGTTTTACATTTGTAATGTCGTGACCTTTTATAGCTAACTATATGGTATGGGATTTGCTCATTATTGAAGGCCGTACAGAGAACCATAGTTGTTGTTTCTATGTCATTTGGTCTCTGCTGGATAGTCGTCTCATTGGCAATCATGCCACATCTTCTTATTGTTATATTAAACCCGCCAATGCCCATGTTCTTTATGTGGCTGTCCCAAGTCAGGAGCCAGAAGTTCAGTGGTTTTTGTTGGCTCATGTCTGTCATATTTGTTTTTTGTAAATTGTTTTGTTATATAAATTAGGCAGTTAGTTTTATTGTATGCATTATTAAATTTTTTCATGTTGGGGCCTTTATTGGCTGACTTATAAGGTATGGGTTTTCTCATTATTGAAGGCCGTCATTGGCCTATAATTGTTTACATCCACTTCATTGAACTCTGGTGGATAGTTTTCTCATTTACCATACCACATCTGCTTATTTTTATAATAGTCATCATTCAAGGGCAATAACCTTTATAGAAGTGGCCTTGTTGTCTTCTGTAAATCTTGTTTTGCCGATCATTTCTACTGTTTATAATTTCTCTTTATCTTCTGTAGTTCTTGCCCTAAACATAAAAAGGGTAAAAATTATCATTTAATGACAATAAATACTATGAGTAGACAACTGACAATTTTGGCGATGTTGACTCATTTGTAGACCTAGTCTTGTTCATCATTTTTGCTGTTTAATTCTTTTTTTTTACCTACTACAGTTTTTGCCAAAGAAATAAGTAACAGACCCGAGAACACAGTAATTACGTTGAGCATTTCTATAAGACCAAAAAGGCATATTTAGAAAATTGAACCGGCTCTATCCAAAAATAAATTAAAGGTGTAGTGTACTATTTTTGGGACAGATCATATCAAAATTATAGAAAAGTCTATCATCTATAACTCAAAATATGGACAGTTTTAACGTTAAGGGGGTCTATAATTCAGTTTGACAACTTCAGACATACCAATTTTTGACCTTTTCAAACTATACCAAATCACTACTTTACCTAAAAGATCATCCGCAAATGTTTTCCCATGTAATTTCATCCCCTTACATTAAGAAATAAATTTGGAAGGAGTATGAAAATAATTTGCAATTTATACACTGTCCACATTAGGGACTCCATTTGTGGACAACGAAAAATCAAAGGACGATAAGTGTGTCTCAGGACCTAATAGAGTAAAAAGACTTGACCATTTTATTCAAACTTGGCATGAATTAAGATTAGGGAATTATAAGACAGTTTACTTAGTTTCATGGCAATAGCATATATACACATTAAAGACTATATGGTCATTCTTATGTGTTTGAACTTTGGGTGTTTATTTTTTACGTTTAAATCGAACAATTTCAACTATCAAGATTTGGGCCTACATAATATAATTATTGCAAAAAATTGCTTTCGAAATGCCTTAATATATAATTTTGCATGTATTTAAACCAGCTGAACACTCATTTGTGGACTTAGATTTATCACAATTCTTCAAAGTCAACTTTATATGAGCCTGTGCCTGAATAATGGACATACGACAGATGGAAACTTCATAACACAAGTATCTGCATAAAAGGAATAAAGCATCCAGTGATCAGTTTCACAAAAAATCTTACGACTAAAGTTGATTGTGGGTCATGAACAATGCAGTATACTTACAATCAACTTCTAGTTGTAAGCTATATAAAAATAATTTACGCCATCGCCACCGATTATAATCCCTATTTATCTTATAGTTATGGCCTGTAATCTATTTCTTGCATGAAATGATATATCTCGTTTCACACTGCATGGAATGTGATACGAAAAAGAGATATGAAAACTGCGTTAATTTGATTGGCTTATCTAGCATTATGAGACGATATTACGACATTTCCATTGGCTATTCGTTAGGTCATTGATAACTTTCAAAGGTTAAGACGATGTACATTTTGTCCATGGCAAGGGACATTATGTGATTTCTCCAATAATATACAAAGCACTCACACTTTTCACCTGGAAATCTTCTTTTTGTCAAATTTTATTAAATTCTGAAGTGTAAAAAAAGTTTTAAAATATTTCAAGTTTGACGCCGGAAAAGGAAATATGACGTCATACTGTTATGTGTAAAAGACTAGATCAACGATTCACGGAATTTTTATTTTAACACGCTAAGAGTGTTGACCATAAGAGAAATAGGTTTAACTCTTGAGAATTGGATATCGCTTGATATCAACTCTCGTTTTTAAATAGTAAAAAGGCTCGCTTATTATTATATTGAAATTAAATAAATCGAGTTGATATCAAGCGATATCCGATTCTAACTCCTTATGCAACTTTCGTCGCAGGCAATACAAAAAAAATAGACTGTATTGGCAACTGACGTCTAAATATAAGTGTTTCTACAACATTAGATAGAGTGTTTTTACAACTGACTTCTATACCATAAGATAGTGTGTCTTGACAACTGACTTCTCCAACATAAGATAGGATGTCTTGACAACTGACATCTTCATAATTAAATAGGGTCTCTTGGTAGGTGATGTCTACACAATTAAAAATGATGTCTTGGTATCTGACGTCTTCACAATTATACAGGGTGTTTTGTCAACTGACGTCTACAACATTAGATAGGGTGTCTTGACAACTGACGTCATCACAATTTGATAGGATGTTTTGGTCAGTGACTTCTTTACAATTAAATATGGTGTCTTGGTTACGACGTCTAGAACATAAGATAAAGAGTCATGGCAACTCACGTCTTCGTAATCAAATAGGGTTTCCTAGTAACTGACGTTTACAACATTAGATAGGGTGTCTTGACAATTGACGTCTTCAAAATTAAATAGAAAATCTTGGTAAGTGACGTCTTGATGACAAAATACGGTGTCTATGTGCAACTGACGTCTACAACATTAGATAAGGTGTCTTTACAACCGACTTCTATAACATTATATAGGGTGCTTTGCAACTGACGTCTACAACATACGATAGGGTAACTTGAAAACGGACGTCTAGAACATTATATAGGGTATCTTAACAACTGACGTCATCACAATTAAATAGGATGTCTTGGCAACTGGTGTCTTCACAATTAAATACTGTGTATTGGCAACTGACGTCTACAACTTAAATAAGGAGTCTTGCCAACGGACATCTTCACAATTAAATAGTGTGTCTTGATAACTGATTGACGTCTACAACATTTTATAGGATGTCTTGACAACAGACGTCTACAATATCAGATAGGGTGTCTTGACAACTGACGTCTAAAAAGTACATTATTGTACCTTTTTTCATATCAATGTTGAGTTGAAGGCTAATTATAACATATCACGTGTCGTTGCGGTAGGTCAATAGCTATTTTAGATTTACCATTTCTGGTTTCTGTAAAGTATGAGTGCAAGATATAATGAAAAGAATACCATATGTTTGAACTTACAGATCATAACCTCCAAAATATGGCTTTTGTGTCTGTTGGTTGCTGTTTATGTACCTTGATTCTCCAATCCGGCAATAAAAAGCAGCTGTGCAGGGCCCGGTTGTTCAAAAGGCTGGATAAAGTTATCCACTGGATAAGCTTGTCCACTGGATAACTGTTTATCCAGTGGATTACTATCCAGTGGTTAAATTCTGTTGTTCAAAACCTGGTTAAGGATTGGTTAGTTGTCCACTGGACAAAATATTATCCAGTGGACAAGTCCCATAACTCTTAGTACTTCCTGTCACATTTGCAAAATGGAACCAGAAAAGGGGAAAAGGGCTGCAAATTTTACGGATGCAGAAAAGGTCTTCCTGACAGAGCTAGTTGAAAAGAACATCAACATCATAAATGCTAAATTCAACAGCTCTATTACCAACCAAAGGAAAAAGCAGGTCTGGGAAGATATTGCCAAACAGTTGAATGCCAGGGGTGGGGCACAGAGAACTGCCACCCAAATCAAAGAAAAGTGGAGGAAATCGTGTGGGGCAGCAAGGGAGGAGGCAGCAAAGGAGAAGGTCCATGCAAGGACGACTGGTGGTGGACCTCCAGCCAAGGCAAATGACCCTGTAACGCAGAAGATATTAGAACTACATCAGGGGGCACCAAACTTTTATGGGATCGATGGAGGTCTTGACATAGGCATGCCACTGCCACTGGAATTAATCAACAATCCTTTTGGATTAAATGGTAATACTATATACAATATTTTCACACTGGTTTAAAAACACAAATGCTCATGTAATGACTACTACAAACGGCCGTGAATATGTCGTCTGCTTATGAGCGGCCATATTTAAATCTTCAATGTTGATATGTTTTTAATTTAAATTGTTTTAACACGAGAAACGGCGTTTTTCTTCAATCATAAAATGTGAAGCCATATGCATTCTCCATAAATTTTACATGGTATTTGACCAAAATATACATTTATGCTGTATATACACATACGTATGTTTATTAATTTCGTAATTTGTACACCTTCACTGCCTTCAGTGGTGCATGTTGTACCTTATCATTTACCGGTTGCCCAGTGTCTGCATTTTCTTCGTCTTTCATTTTCAAAACTTCGGTTTTGTTTTTACAAGTGTCCTTGACCATGTGACAGTATAATATTTTTCACATTCCGTGTTCATGGGTTTTAAATCAACAATTCGTATCTGACCCTTCCCATTAGGTTTTGTGCTAGAACTAGATTGTACTTTGTCAAAACAAACTTAACATACAGTTAGAAGCATTATGAAAAAATGTTCTTAAAAATAACAGACTGCATATGAATAACAAAGAATATAGAGAAATGGAAAATAGAATGTAGGATTGAAGTACCCCAATTGGGACCTTCAATGTGCATACCATTATATCACTACTGCGCATGTCTCACCTACTTTCGAGTGAATTTACCATCTCTTATACAACCCCTTAATTCTGTTTTATCCAATAATAAAATAAGGGGTTGTATCAGAGATAGTAAATTAACTTCAAACTAGGTTAAATTGTATTTAATCAATACAATACAAATTGGGGGGGTCTTCCCCATAAGTGCCTGTGTTTGTAAAAGTTGGGTTTTATAAGTTTGGGTGTTTTTCAGTTTTTATGTTGTGTTATGGGGATTCTTGTTTTACTTTTCGCCGCTACTTTTTGGGCTTCCCGCATGAAATCGCCGTGTATTAAAAGATTATAATTAAACCTTGAACCATTTTTCATACAGTTAAGAAGGGGGTTGGAGGGGTCCTGATTATGAAATCCCAGGCTTAAATACATTAAATCCCGAGGTCCTCAATTTAAAGAAATTTAAGTCCCGACATCCCGAAATTCGAAAAAAGAATTCCCGAACACCGACAGGATCAATCCCGAAATCCCGAGCTTAAAAACACCCGATCCCGACGTCCCGAAAAAGGTCCTGCCCCTTCAGTTAATTTAAGAGGCAGACTCTGGACCATTTTGGTTCACCTATGACTTTTCATATGGAAATCATTAGTTCATATAAGTCCTGGCTTTGGGTGACGAACTTTTTTTTTGGGTAGCCTCTATTTTACAGTGCAATTTTTAACAACCATGATTACCTCTGTCTCGAGACCTATTTCAAGTTTATCAATAAAACTTTTGTTGTTTATAAAACCGTTTCATCTAATGTATTAAGTTTCCCGGGCACATGAAGGCTAATAAACACAAATATTTGCTTCAGGTAAAGAAGTTAAATCTCTTCTTCAAAAAGCAAAAGAAATGAATGTAGAAATTCAGAAATTTTTACAAGATTACAGGCCAATTAAGTAAAGCATTACCAAAAGTGGGAGACGGTAATTTTTACAATTATGTGGACACAACAAAGGGCATCACCGAAGCTGAAAGGGATGAATTGACCTCTTTCCTCAGTATACATTCAGTGAAATCAATTTTTCAGTTATTGATGTTCCTACAATGGTGCATGACACAATTGCATTTATTGTCCACTACTCAGACAAAAAAGGTACAGCACTAGCATTGTAAACTGATAAGTTAAGTCAAAATCTAATACAAATACAGCAATTTCATAAGCATTTCCCCTACTTATATAATGACGTTCAGCTAGCTTTATTGTTGAGAAAGACCGCTTTTGTTTAATAAACTGTTATCACAGAGACATGTCTCGCCTTTTTGTAATTTTGATAATGCAAATGTTGAAATTAAAATAGCAATAAGTTAACATGTAAGTTATGCAAATATTCAAAGTCGATGAACCATGACTGAAGGTACATGGCTAAACAATCTCCATGGAATGAGATGTGCCAATGCTAATAAAACTGCATACCAAATACCATTGACTTATTATAAGTCGTTCCCTTTAAACAAACCTAAACACAAACATTAACTTGTTTAAAATAATAACTTACCTTTTGAGTGAATATTTATATTCCAAATCTAAAACAACCTACTAGGTCTATCATATAAATTTACGGTCAACTCGACTTTTAGAAATCGATGAGCCATGTCGTTTAAATTCTTGTTAATTTCATGTCTCCATATTAATATTGTTTATGATGTTATTATTATGTATTTTATTTTGTTCGGTTATTTATTATTTGTATGTAATGGAGAAGACGTTCTAAGTTGCAAAACTTGTGTCTAATCCTATTGTCAATGTTTTTGGACAATAAAATATGTTTAAACTTGTAAACTATGTAAAAGTTTAAAAGTCAATGAACCATGATCAGGGGTGGGGCTATATAATCTCCATGGAAACAATACTTGCAAATGCCAATAAATTTGCATACCAAATATCATTGACTTAACATTAGCAGTTCATCTTAAACTGATCTAATCACAAACTAATACATGTAAACTAAGCAAAAGTTTCAAAGTAAATAGACCATGACTGAGGGGGCGGGGCCAAATATTCTCCATGGAAATGAGATGTGCTAATGCTTATACAACTCAACACTAATTAACATTGGCCTACCACTAATGGTTCCCCTTGAACTGACCTAATCACAAACTAATACATGTTAACTTAGCAAAATTTTCAAAGTCTATAGACCATGACTAAGGGGGCGGAGCCAAATAATCTCCATTGAAATGAGATATGCTAATGCTTATACAACTGCATACCAAATATTATTGACCTACCAGTAGTGGTTCCCCATAAATTGACCTAATCACAAACTAATACATGTAAACTATGAAAAGTTTAAAAGTCAATAGACCTTGACTGAGGGGGCGGGGCCAAATAATCTCCATGGTAATGAGATGTGCCAATGCTAATACAACTGCATACCAAATATCATTGACCTACCACTAGTGGTTCACCATGAACTAGACCTAATCACAAACTAATACATTGTTGACGCCGTCGCCGGAAACAGCATACCTATGTCTCGCTTTTTGACTCCGTCAAGGCAAGCAAAAATGATAAGCCGGTCGTTTATGTTTATAAACCAATGTCATTAATTTAACAGAGTAACAGAAATTTGTATTGTACTGCACACAGTCTGTGCTAAACTGTTTTAGGGTTTGTCTGACCGAAAGAGAAATTGGACTTTTCTACTATATATTCAACCAAAATATTTTTAAATTTTTGTCTGTCCGAATGATTTTTTGTCTGACATTTTGTCGGTCAGACAGAGTTTGGTATACACTGTGCACAACAGAGGACGTACAACAGACACATATCATGACGTAACTGGAAGAGAAAACAGTAAATAAGTTGTTATAAAAAATGCAATATAAATATGATTGTATATAGAAACTATCCCACGCATCAATAACAAAATAACTTTGCTAATATTTCTTGTTTATTGCAGAAAATGATGCTTCTGAATTCGTGGTCCTAAATGACCAAAGTAATTATGTTGCCTGCAACACAGAGCAAAGAGAGATTATTGCCACTGTCGATTTGCCAACACTTCGGGTGAAAGGTGTGTTAGGACAAGAATCCCCAAGTTGTGTACGTATTTCTTCATGCCAGTGTCTTGCCTCCTATGCTGTTGTTTATGTTTTCAGTGTTACATGCAGTGTCTTGCCGCCTATGAGGTAGACTATGTCTGAAGTACATTAACCTTCCGTAAAACACTTGTTTGTTGGCCCCTTTTTTGGCCTCTAATTTCTTAACAGTGGGGATAAATATATATATATTTTGTGTTATTAAAACTTTTGGTAAATTCCACAAAGATCCATACACTTTAACTAAAGTTATTGTCCGGAAACCAATCTTTCCACGGATGCCGCCGAAGACGACGTGATAGCAATACTGTGAAAGTATTTTTATTCGTGGGTATCAATTTTCGTGGTTTCAGCAAAAGTTACATGTTCGTGGGTTCTTAAATTCGTGGATTTTAGTTTTCTGAAGAAAAAAAATCGAGTGATGAATTTGAAGACTTCAGAATCGGATCTTCGTGATATTAATCATATGTTGTTTTATAATGATTTGTGGGGCATTGTTAAATAAGGTGTTCATTTTCACTAACTTGTTCGTCCTTCATAGATAACAAATTCATAATATTTTGAATTGTAGAATCAATTATTATGACATAAAAAAGCAAGCCCAAAATGAAATCAGTATTTTTTTTCGTATGAGAATTATGAAAAAAGGAACATTTCATTATCGCATATCATCACCGGACATCTGACTTTCATCGATAAAAAAATATTTCTCATGAGAATTAAAATGTTAACAGTCGTAAATTTTAGATTTTTTAAAGATTAAATGGGTAAAATCCGGTCTGAAGTTGTACAAAAAAAATTTATATTTAGTTCATAGTACGTTGGTTTATATGACCGTATCCATGTAATCAAACCTACAAGGGGATCTTTCCGTGTCTGGAATTGGACAACAGTTATTATATTCGTTGGACAGTTAAATTCGTGGATAAAGCCATCCACGAAAACCACGAAAATTGGTACCCCACGAATAAAAGTACTTTCACAGTATACGAACTCAATTTGTTTGCACTCATATAAAAACTTGTGAACTCTGAAAGACTAAGTTCATGTATCAGTAATACCAGTATACAGAAATATATGGATATAACCTTTTTTCAATTAATTTTTCCTTTAAATCAAATCATAGAGAATTAAATCAAAATAAGCTTCTGGTAATCGTACAGTAATGTTGTTTTTCTTTCGAAATGAACAGCGAACCAGGAAAAGGTAACTATATCCGGAGGGGTTTACTCCTGGTTTGCCCACTTTTAATTACACCTATTATTTATTAGTAAAGAAAACAAAAAAGACAAAAGGTTTAATGAGCACACAATTATATAGTCTGTTCCAACTTAGGTAATATAGTTTATCAGTGTTTTCTATATATATTCAGGTATTTTTTATTTTGTAATTCCATTTTCATAAATGTATAGATAAATTATAAATAAATTATATATTTTTTCTCTCAATAATTTAACATACATTGTGTCATAGGTCAAATTTATTTGTTCAGTGTATGTTCAATGGTGTTAATATGTCCTTTGATTGAGTTAAGCTATTTCAGTTGATATTTTATAGTGTGTCTTTCTATGTTGTGATGTTAAACTATTGTTTCAGAAAAAGGGTGAAGGTTTGGTACCATTAAAACGTTTAAACCCGCTGCATTTGTTTGCACCTGTCCTAAGTCAGGAATCTGATGTTCAGTAGTTGTCGTTTGTTGATGTGGTTCATAAGTGTTTCTCGTTTCTCGTTTTTTATATAGATTAGACCGTTGGTTTTCCCGTTTGAATGGTTTTACACTAGTAATTTTTTGGGGACCTTTATAGCTTACTGTTCGGTGTGAGCCAAGGCTCCGCGTTGAAGACCGTACTTTGACCTATAATGGTTTACTTTTATAAATTTTGACTTTGATGGAGAGTTGTCTCATTGGCACTCATACCACATCTTCTTATATCTATGTAAAACAATGGCACTAGCCTGGTTTAAAAGTAATATAAAGTATATTAAAAAAAAACTAAACAAAATTCGTGCGCATTGTTTTGGGGCCGCTGAAGGCCCGAAGAAGCTATAGAAAAATGTATGCAAAATCATGCATTCTGCGCATTTCCCAGAACCTACAAGGTTCCATATCACAAAGGGAAAGCTGGGTTTGAGTTTGGGGGTAATTGCCCTAAACGTTTAGGAATTTGGGGCCAAAAAGGGGCCAAAAACAAGCATTTTTCTAGTTTCCAGACAATAACTTGTGTTCAAGTGTATGGATCTCTCTGAAATTGTACTGCAAGGTACCATACCACAAAGTGAAAGCTGGGATTGAGTTTGGGGGTGATGAATCATAAGGGGGTTCAAAAAAATTTGGGGGGGGGGGATTTTTTTTTCCTTTTTTTTCTTTAAAATTTTCCATTTTAAATTGGTTATTTCTGGTTTATGTATAAAAGCAAATAATAATGATATGGTTTGAATAGGTAAATTAAAAAAATTTAAGTTCTTAGACCACTTTCATTCTGTGTCAGAAACCTATGCTGTGTCAAATATTTAATTACAATCCAAATTCAGTGCTGTATCAAGCTTGAATTTTGTGTCCATACTTGCCCCAACTGTTCAGGGTTCGACCTCTGCGGTCGTATCAAGCTGCGTCCCAGCGGAGCATTTTATTGTTATTGTTGAAGTTTACATAATGTCCTATTATTGTTATTATATTTGCCTTTAAAACTCTATGCTGTGTCAGTTCATGTTACTCAGATATATTTCTCAGCAATAACGGGGTGCAAACGATTAATATTTCATATGAAGGATGAACATATATATAATAATTAAAAAAAACATTTTTTTTTATGTATTTGCAGCAAGCTTCTGTAAGTTCCGTTGTAGCACCAATAACAACAAAGGCTAAATCTTCAATAACTAAACCGGTATCAGTGACCCAGCCAAAGAAAAAGCAAACCTACCAGGAGCTTCAAATTGAAGTTCTGAAGCTGGACAAAACAAGAATCCTTCAAGAGAAAAGAAAAATTATATCTGAACGAGAAAAGCTAGAGCTAGAAAAAACTCTCCTGAAATTAAAGATCAAGAAATTGAAACAGGAATTAAATGATAATGAACAGTGAGACTTTACATTCCAGTATCAATTGTTAGATCTTCAATTAATTGTGTGATTAACAAATTAGTGATTATAAAAAAATAATTTGTGAAAATTTTAATATTTCTCTTTGTAAAATCAGTGTGGACTGATTTTTTGAGTCTTTTTCTAATCTGCTGCAAAAAAAAACTATATTCTGTGAAAACAATTTATATACAAGTACAGTCTGCATGAAGCTACAAGATTTATCCTCATTATATTAGGGAAACAATTGTAATTTTGTACTATCTACGTTTAGAAAATGTAGCATTAAACCATATTGCACATGTACATTTTAAAGCTTTCAAAAAATTATTTGTATGAATAAACTGTAACAAAACAAAGAGATTTACAAATTGAAATCAGCGCTAGAAATGACCAGCATCATGAAAATAAAAATAAATGTTATTTCATCAGTTTGTTTGATTCAATTTATATTACACTAGAAATAAGTTGTGGCAATTAAGTTACGGATATTCATTCCGTTTTGATGTCCCAAATCTTGTCCAACATCAACATCTTCTATTTCCCGGTCTTCTACCATTGGCTCTTTTTGCAAAATAGCAAAATTAAATAAAATGGCACAGGCAACAATAACTTTACAGACTCTGTCCGGGGTCAACCTGATTTCTGAATGCAGCAGATGAAACCGTCTTTTCCAGCGTCCGAAAGTCCTTTCAATCACGGATCTTGTCCTGGATTGAGCACTGTTATATCTCTCTTGTTGTCTGAAAAAGGTATTGCTATGGTAACTCATTTAGAAAATTTATATACAAATATTTTCAAATAATTAATTCACTAATTATACAAATGTCAAATATAAACTTTAAAATCAGAATGGTTTTTATGAAAAATAGCAGAAAAGATCTTTACCATAGAACATGGGGTTCTATACTAAAATAGTTTTTAACATTGACTTTTGACCTACAAACGTTTTGATGTACACTCTGGTAGTGGTTAATGTACATGTAAAGCAAACACTTTGAAATAAATCATAACGGTAATCAAGAAACATAATTGTGTAACTGACGGACGGACAAACTGACCACTATAGGGCGACCCTAATAACTTAGATTCATGACACAATTTGATTACAAGATAAAAACGCAGTTGCTATATAACATGGAAGCTACAAGTAAATTTAATTATAAACATATGCGACATTAGTGTCAATGAGACAACTTTTTTTTAAACGACAAATTATTGTCAAGTAAGGCCTTGTTCACACCAAACGTCATGTACAGTAAACATGTTTACAATTAGTTTAATGTAATGTACACTGGTTTCACATTAGATTCGCTCCCTTATGAAGCCATTTTGATGATTTGCAGTACTTCAAAGATACTCAAGATGTTTCGATTACGCAATACAATTTCGCATATATACACGTACATTGCAAAGACGCAATATTTAAAGATATATATATAGCGAGTTGATGATTTTGTGAAAAATAAGATAAAAAAACAATTTACCGTGTTGAAGGCCTTAAATAAGGAGTCATGAGATAAGGTTTACAGGCATAACCACTATCTCCTAACAACAGTCCATCAACATCAAATCCTCTGTGGTTTTGATCCAAGTGTATCCCAACATCAGAATTTCGGAAAATGAAGCTGTCATGTGTTGACCCTGGCCACTTGGCAACAATGTTGGTGAATTTTCCTGAAATTGATATATATAATCTTGTAATTCAGTTAGAGAAGTATATTGAATCTGAGTACTTTCCTACAAAACTATTACATTTTACTATCGCAATTAACCGTTGCAAGAAACTCATTCCCACACGCAAAATCTTATTATGGGGTCCTCAGCTATCAAATGCGACACAGTTATATCCATGAATTTTCTATTTGTGTTCCCATTGAACTCATGACGTGGTTTGATAGTTTGCTTAGATATGATTTATTCTACAAATATGACAAAACTTTGAAAACATTCGCATTTAAATGAAACTCAGTGGTGGATTAACAACCGCTTGTGTATGCTTTTGTTTGAGGTGATGTGGTTGGACCCCCGTTTAAATATAATAACAATATGCATATGTTGGAACCCCCATTTTAAAAATGAATGTAGCCGCCCTTGAAACACGAAAGGACAAGGTATGATAAGGGGCGTTTTTGGCCCCCTCTCAAAATAAGCTTATATTCATATCATTGATAGCCTTTGTATAGAAACTTGTGAAAACAATGATTTTTTTATGTTCCGGTTAAAGGAAGGTTGCCTAGCAACGGTTTTATTTAATAGCCAAATTATCACTTATGGATTGCATTATCTATACAAATGAGCTCAATTCCAAATGTTATTGTTTGCTTTAGAGGGACCTGAAGTTACGATCGAATGGTCACGTTAATTTTCAGTTTACTAAAATGCTTAGCAACAACCTAACAACAAAATTGTTGCCTAGCAACATATCAAACATTGGTAAGTTTTTCCCTCTGAGGTATTAAATAATAGCAATATTTGTAGATTAAGCATCCATAAATTGTTTTTCAGTCTTATATTATAGTTCAGTCATCTTTTTTTTTGTCGATGTTCATATTGAGCATAGCAACACAAATATTGCTTAACAACAGTCAAAAATGAATAAATTGAAGAGAAATATAAAAACAATTCTTTTATTGTACAAGTTACAATAAAAGCAAAACTGATTGGCATATAAGAATAAATAACTGTAAGAAATAAAAGTAATTTTAATTGAAGTTCATGTTTATCAACAACGTTTCAACCAAAATAGTGCATAGCAACGGTTTAATAACGATTCTTTTTTTATCTCAAGTATGAATTTTGCTATTTTTAAAAACTTACTTTCACATATGGAGTACACTATGATATGAATATCTTATTCAATAGTCTTTTTTTATGAAGTCCATATTGTGTATAGCAACACAAATGTTGCTTAGCAACTATCAATCATGTTAAGATTAAAGACAACTAGACTAGTATTTTCATATTATTCTACAAATAAATATATTGTGCATATATATAATTTTCCAACAGAAAATAGTATTATATACATTTAAACAACACAGTTATCATACTGACATCCAGCTAAAGCATATCCAGAAGAGAAGATCGTCATACCAACATTGGTTGCTTTTAGTTTAAATTATAATCATAGTTTGTGTTAATGTATGAATTTAAGAACGTTAATTAAATATAATCGTTTTTTTCATATCAGCTTTCATTCATACGCTCGCACATATAAGCATTGATAAGTAACAATTTCATATTAAACAATCTGCAATCACATACAAAATAATTCAAATGGATCTTGTTCATACAATTTTTCATTCTCGTACATACACTTTCACATGAACTTTTATGATTCCATCAACAGTAATTAACCAATATTAACAAATTGAGTAACATTAAAAAGCTTTTAAGTGACACTTATCTTTATAAATATTAGTAAGAATCAAAAATAAAGCATTGACCCTACCGTTTTGTAAACTACATTAAAACACAAAGAGATTAAAAATACTATTGAAAATTGAGTAACAGATCAGGAAGTTTTCTGTATTTGTAACAAAAGCGTGTTGCAAGAATTCAATTTTTTATCTGTTGGTGAACTGTTAACCAATTACAAGGACATTTTAAATACGTAATAGCGAATGCAAAGTTCAGTGTTCTTGGTCAACACTTACTAAATAAAAGAAATAGGCATAAAGAAGGTGAACTCCATGAACTATTTCATTTTTCTCTAAAAAAATATATTGCTAGATTTCTTGAAATTAACACATATGGTCTCGTCTCATTTGCAATCATACCACATCTCTTTATTTTATACAGAATGGGACACTTATGTGTATATGGAAAGATAATTATACATATGTACTTGGAATGAAATATTTTACGAAAAATCTACATTTTAAATTGATTAGATATCTTAAACGTCCTTTTACAGTATGTTAATGTTGTGGCCAATAGTATCAAGGGAAATAGACACAGTTACACGACACACTTGACCAAACACGACAATGTAATGATTTATACAAAGCGACATGTGTATTGTCCAGTGGGTATGTCAGCAACAAAAACATGTGTAAACAAAGCGAAAAATTGAAATAAATACCAAATCAAGTCTTCCACTTCTCACACTCAAACATGCTCCAACGAGACACCGAAAAGATAGGTGGCCATTCTTCAAGTTAGGTTTTAGAAAACAGCCATTACAAGTTAGATAAAATAAATCTCGTGGTTAAAAAGTGCTTTTTTTTCAGAAAAATTATATAAATGTGATGACATATGGAATGTGAAAACAGTGACACTTAAATGACCTTCATTCATTTTAGATTATAACAGCAATGTACATCTTACAAATAAACAAGAATAGTTGCGAGGCGTTTGTTCAAGTCATTCTTAGCTACGGTTAAATTCATTATGATTGTAAGTTATTCTTCTATATATGAATCAACACTTTCTACGTCAGACAGATCGGACTCTTCAGGAACATCTTTAGCATTGAGTATGGAACTTGAAAACTTTCCGGAAGCATTGACAGATTGAGCAGCCCCAATATTCCACCTATGATATCCAAGATACCAAACAACGCTTGCGATGTGGGCACAACACCCAACCATACGTGACCCAACTTTACAAGTACAGTACCAACCAGTGACTTCATTTTCATCGTACTCCAACCACAAATGGTAGCATCTTGAAGATGAATGGCGAGAGTGCATCTTTACTCGCAACAGATCTGGCCTATCCTTGCAAATGAACAATGCATAGTTGTCGTCCTCCTGATGGGCATCCGTGTACCTTTTAGCTGATTTGATTTGGTAAATACCCATTGTAATTTGTCTAAGATGGTCTAGAGATATTCTGGGAAACATATCAAGCTCAGTCGCACCATCAACTTCTTTGTAGACAGTTTTTCTTCTCAAAAGGTTGTGCTCCTCTACATATGTTTTTACATGGTTGTCTAGTTGTGCCTTTTCAATCATTTCTTTACCTATGCCATCATTGCCGAAATCATTTATAAGAGGCGGTCTAAAACAGTTGACAAGTGCACAGACAATTCTTACAAAGTCCCCAATGTGTGGCACGTAGTGGTTGGCAACAACTTTATCCAAAAATTTCCACTGTTTTATTCTACCATTTGCACTTTCCACTACCCAGCGAACTTTAGTCACCAGTCGCGTTGTATTCGCTTCATCAACTGTTTGTTGTTTTGCTCCCTTAGAAAGAAAACAAGGCATCTCAACTTTGAAATTCATTTTTTTCAAAAACTCTTCTGCATCACGGAATCCTCTGTCTACAACCATGACATCATCCTCGTGCATCCATGTGTTAATCTCATCAGCATTAGTCTTAAATGCATGCTTTATGATAGAAGCATCATTGTTATGACCGTCAGCATAATATGGGCCGAGGACATTAAGAATATAACCGTCTGTAGCGACAATCATCATGG